GGAAGCTCTCCACACACTCACCGGACCTGGGCTAGGACTGGGTCTGGGGGCTCCCGGAACTCGGCAGAAAATCCTACTTGGCGGGCGGGGTGGGGGAGGCACTGCGGAGTGATGGGGGGCAGCCCAAGGGGCTGGGAGAGGGTCCAGCCCACGCTGCGCCTTGGCTGGGACTGGTCCCGCCAGCGCCTAGAATTCTACTTTTACCATCATCTCTTCTTTCCAATGTGTGATCCAGGGCTGTGGTCCACATCCAGGTGAAGGATGTCAATGAGTTTGCTCCCACATTCAAAGAGCCAGCCTACAAGGCCATCGTAACAGAGGGCAAGATCTATGACAGCATCCTGCAGGTGGAAGCCATCGATGAGGACTGTTCCCCCCAGTACAGCCAGATTTGCAACTATGAAATCATCACAACGGATGTGCCTTTTGCCATTGACAGAAATGGTGAGTGTCCTGAGAAGATGCCAACAAGGTCAGGGAAATTTGCTGCCACTCTAAAGTCACAGAGCATCCAAATGTACTTGGCAGCAATGTGTACCTTTATCTAGGCTCCTAACTCAGAAATCAGTGCTACACTAGTGGAAGTGGCGCTCGTGTGATTAGTAGTCCTGCCAAGTCTAAAGTACCCTTAGGAAATCTCAAAAAACAACTCACTTAATGTACTTTATTGAACTCATAATGCTATACATCTGGATACTGAAGAGTTGGTTGCCTGGTAGAACTTTCCACTTATCATCCAGATGTGAGTCTTGGCATCATTCAACCACATCTCAGTCCCTTTCCTATATGATGAGTTATAGCATGACTCTACCACAAAAACTTGCCTCCTTCTCCCAAGGAGATGCTATCAGAGAAGATGGGGATTTTGAACTGCCTTTATAACCAAATATATTCAGGAAACTTTAAATTCTTTGTCAATGTCCCTTTTGAGAACTTCAACCTTAGCAAGCACCTCAATTCCACACTGGACTAAACTGAAATAGGTCGTATAAAGCCATTTGGATATCTCTCCATCACCATTAATATGAACTCATTGTAGTGTAAGCACCACAACCACAGTCCCAATCAATTCAATCCACTTTTGATTATAATTTCATTATTTTAAGTCTAATAAAATGGTACTCTTTGCAAGATATATTTTTAAATTATTAGTGTTAGCGTATGGGTATCTGTATACCATCCTCACTTAGCTTCAAGTTACATTTAGGTTGAAAGACTTGAAATTAATACACTCCATAATTATTTACTGAATGTGATGGAGACAAGATGAAATTTCAAAAAAATATAGGCCTGGCCACGTGGAGTTTATTATCCAGTGAAAACAAATAGATACTCAGAGGAATCAGTGTAAAATTCATGCACAAAGCATTCAACCAGCGTTAGGCAAAGAAAGTAATCAGTGTCTGGAGGGAAATCAATATTTGGAATATTTTTTTACTTTGAGGCTAAAGAGAAGCTTACTCTCTGATATAATCTGTGTCCTGAGAACTACAGCAGATTTCATGGGGTCTGGGACTAGGAGACACCCTCATCTTTAACTGCAAGTAGTTTATGTCCTGTCCTGGAAGACAAATTGATATCTACAAGACAGGAAAGACAGTACCGCAATAGTTTCCTCATAAAGGGTTAAAAAACCTGAGAATAACAATTACCTGTCTGAACATCACTAGATATGCTGATTGTACATGACCCAAAGCCAATGCACAAGAAAATAAAGGGGAAAATATTGGCCTTCAATTAAATTTTGCTTCACAACTAAAAAGAAAATTTTACCTAGTACAACCTGTTAGAATAACACCCAAATAGTTTCTCCCACAGGTCTGTAAAATAGCTGGTATGTCTCCCTAACACCACACAGACAGATAGACAGACAGACACACAGACACACACACACACACACACATACACACACACACACCCCACTGTATAAAATATAAAACAACTGCTTTGTGTCTCTCTCCTCTGGGTTTCCATTCTTCCCATCTCATGAAAGCACTGGGATTCAGGGCATGGTGATTCCACAGTGTGTAACAATCCCATACAAGTGGAGGTATCTGTGGTCAGTGGTCAAGCTCCACTTGGCCTCCTGCCCTCACTCTGAATATCCAGGGCCCATTGAGAAATGAGATGCAAATTCTTTCATCCAGGGTAAACTGCCCCAGCCATGAAGATAATTACTCACCTTGATGAGCCATTTCACTAACATATGCCAATTTATTTCCCTGGCTGTCTCATTAAAAGTAAGTAATGGGCTTTTGCCAGGTCTCTGCCTCCAACTTTGGTTTACAATGTAAGATGAAGAGGTGAGTGGGTACTCCTGAGGAGGGCAGGCCCCTGGCAGCGAAGTTTACGAAGGTAATTCTCCACGTAATGAAGCCAGGACCTGGGGCAGACACAGCAGCAGCTTCCATTCTAATGATCTGGCAATTGGCCCTTATCCATCACCTCTCTGGATGACCTTCTCAGCTCCTTGAAGGAGTTCTTTACGTACATGTACATGAGGGAAAGTGCTGCTGAATTTGGGGGTCTATTGGTTGAGGCCTAGGCTTTCTATATCCTTTGCTTCATGGCCTTATGTAGATGCCTCCTGATCTGTCCCCCCAGTGGGCCAAGTCCTAAGGCACAAAGAACTTCTCGAATACATCATCACACTGGTCGTAATGTGGGGACTGGAACCCAACTGCAGACCCACTCAGCTTTCACCACTTAAAGACCCCACAGTTGTTTTGGGTTTTGTTTGGTTTTGTTTTGGTTTGGTTTGGTTTGGTTTGTTTGTTTTTACTTTTGGAGTGTCCAGGCACTTGAGAAATACCCCTCCTTTTCCTCTGTTCCAAAGCTGCCCCATCTGCTGCCACCATGGATACCCAAAGCAGGGATCAGCACTGCAGACACAGCTCTCCCCACATGTGCTAATCCCCTATCCATGTACCTGTGAGACACTAGACTCAACTCCTATTACCAGGCCTCACAGCCAACTAGGTGCCTACAGCTGGTTTATGTAGCCATGTGCATTCTTGTCATCAGCCACAGTCCCTATAGCTCTATTCATGCAAGTGACCATCCCTGACTTTCTTCAGAAGCCCCTACTGCCATGCATACATTAATGGCAGGTCTATAGCCATACATGTTTATGCCACTAGCAATAGTTCTGGCACCTCCACATGCATGTGCAGCTCCCAACTTCTATACTAGATAGCCATTGGCTCATGGGCCCACAGCTGGTCCCTATGGCTTCAAACAGAGAGTCCCTGAAACTGCACACATACAGATCACCAGGCTGAATCTCACAGCTACACAATGCATGCAACTGACCCAGTCTATTGCTGTCACCAACCACCAACTAGATTCCTACAGTTGGCCCTTATAATTGCACATGTGCACTGCCAGCCTTGAGTTCTGCAGTGGTACACACACACACACACACACACACACACTCAGCACCCATGCATACACCCTGAAACAGTCCTTTCCACCATGTGCATGCCTGCATCCAGGTGCATGAACACCACTGGCCCCAGGTCTCACTGCATCAGTACTCTGCCATTGTACCCAAGGACACCACTGAGATCACCAACAGCCCCTCATCACCCTAGACCTCCCATAGTCCTGGACAAACCAAAGACTACACTATTGTTAGTGTTGCAGACCATTGTTTCCTCCATCAAAGACACTCTCTTCCTTACAGATATGGAGTAAACTGCATGCTAAGCACTAGGCATAGAGTCACAGCGCTCTCTTGAGTTCTTCTGTAACCCACACAGGTGAATGCTCTTCCCACTAAAGCCAGTCTACAAAGTCTAGAAGAGACTGCTCCCCACGTACTCAGACACCCACAGAGTGCTACAAGAACCATCATGTATTGATAAAACTAAAAGAACATACATAGCTGCCAGTAACCAACCCCAGTGAACTAGAGAGCTACAAAATGCCTGATAGGGAGCTCAAATTGTTTAATCTTTTTTCTAAAGAAACTCAATGAGGTACAAAGAACATGCGTGAGCAATTTTACTCAATCAGGGAAATAGTACAAGAACAAAGCAAGAGTATCAACGAAGTGATACAAAATATAAAAAGAAGAATCAAACAGAAATGTTAGAGTCAAAGAACAAAACTACTGAACCCAAAAATTCAACAGAAATCTTCACCATCAGACTCAACCAAATAGAAGAAAGAATAAGTAAATTCAAAAATAGATCATGAAACTGTCCTACTAACCTGTTTTGAAACTGTCTCATTGCTATTTCTTTCTTATTAAACTTAATTTAAAAAATAGATCATGAAATTGTTCCATCAGAATAGAGAAGAAAGGCTGGCCAAATATTTCAGTAGATTAAAGTGCCTACAAGCAGGAGCAGGGCCTGGGGGTTCGATCCCTAGACTTGCTATGCAGGTCCTGCCCCTGGGGTGCACTGAGACTGAGACTGGGCATGGTGGTGCTTTCCTAAAATCCCAGCTCTTAGGAGGCTGTAAATAAGCGGATCACTACAAGTCTAATCTAGTAGTGATACTCTGAGCACCTTATAGACCCTTCCCTAAAATAACAAAAGAATAGATAAGAAAGAAAACTAATAAGAAGAAATGAAATACTGTAAAATTTATAAATCACCATCACAAAGATTATTTGCATCATAAAGTGTTTGGCTAGAGAAGACAGAAGGCGGTAGAATTCATCTTCAGAAAAAATGACTGTCTAGTTCCATTCATGTTGCTACGAATGACAGTATTTTTTAAGATGGAGCAGCATTTCATTGTGTAGGTATAGTGCATTTTCTTTATCCATCCACTGAAGGGCTTCTGGAGAGATTATATTGCATGAAACAAGCTAGCCTTAATAAGACAAATGATCAGTAAGTCAAGCTTATAGGAGTATAGAGTAGAGTAGTGGGCAGTAGGGGAAAGGGGATGAGGTGGAGATAGAAAACTATTTAAACAGAACCTCTAAGAATTGTGAAGTGTCCCAGGGGAGCCTAAAAAGACTGCCAAGTGCATGAGAAGGGTGGACTGACCTCACTGTGTGATATGTGTGTGTGGATAAAAAAACCACAGAGAATCCCATTGATTCATATAATAAGTATCTTATTACTAAAGAAGTAATAATAGCTAAACAGTCCCAGAATATTTGGAAAGATATGGACATCCAGTCACATGAAGCTTGAAATTCACTAGTCATATCCAATGCAAAACTGCAACAGGATACACTATAATCAAAGGGTCAAGCGCTAGGGGTGTCTCAGTAGTGTGGTACATGTCTCAGATATGAGGCACTGGGTTCAACCCCTAGACTAAAGCAAATACATACATTTATACAATCTGAGCTCAAAGAGACTTTAGAAACAGAATTTCAATGAGATTAGTGTTATATTGTTCACTAGAAGCCTTCTGATCGAGGAGACAATAAAATGATATATTCAAAGGGACAAAACAATAACCTGCCAACCAAGAAT